GGGTATGTTTGTAGCAATAGCCAAAAATACACTGTATGGGTCAAAATTATCGATTTTTCTTTTATGCCAAAAATCATTAGGATATTAATTAAAGATCATGTTCCATGAAGATATTTTGTAAATTTCCTACCGTAAATATATTAAAACTTCATTTTTGATTAGTAATATGCATTGCTAAGGACTTCATTTGAACAACTTTAAAGATGATTTTCTCAATATTTAGATTTTTTTGCTCCCTCAGATTCCAGATTTTCAAATAGTTGTATCTCAGCCAAATATTGTCCTATCCTAACAAACCATACATCAATGGAAAGCTTATTTATTCAGCATTCAGATGATGCATAAATCTCAATTTCACAAAAGTTAGCTTAAAATGCCCTTGTAGTAGTCACATATCTGATATTCTTCTGTTCGCTCCACAGTGCGGATGGGACGTATGAGGTGACGGTCTTCACCAACGCCATCGTCCTGTTCAACGGCAGCATCGCCTGGCTCCCTCCCGCTATTTACAAGAGCGCCTGCAAGATCGAGGTCAAGCACTTCCCCTTCGACCTGCAGAACTGCACGCTCAAGTTCCGCTCCTGGACCTACGATCACACCGAGATCGACCTGCTGCTGAAGTCCGAGGTGGCCAGCATGGACGACTTCACCCCCAGCGGCGAGTGGGACATCCTGGCTCTGCCGGGCCGGAGGACGGTCAGCGCTCTGGACCCCACCTACGTGGATCTGACCTACGACTTCATCATCAAGCGCAAGCCGCTCTTCTACACCATCAACCTGATCATCCCCTGCGTGCTCATCACCTCGCTGGCCATCCTGGTCTTCTACCTGCCTTCGGACTGCGGCGAGAAGATGACGCTGTGCATCTCCGTCCTCCTGGCGCTGACTGTCTTCCTGCTGCTGATCTCCAAGATCGTGCCACCCACGTCGCTGGACGTTCCCTTGATAGGGAAGTACCTGATGTTCACTATGGTGCTGGTGACCTTCTCCATCATCACCAGTGTGTGTGTGCTGAACGTGCACCATCGCTCTCCGAGCACACACAACATGCCGGACTGGGTCAAGCTGGTGTTCCTGGTCAGACTTCCAGCGCTGCTGTTCATGCAGAGACCACGGGGAAACTCGGCCCGTCAGCGTCTGCGGCAGAAGCGCCGTCTGCGGGACCCCGGATCATCTCTGCTGGGCCTCGGTGCTCCTCACAGATCCGGCATGTCTTCATCCGCCTCTGCGCTGCTGGCCTCAGCTTCGGCTCTCTCGTCCCCGGGACACTTTAACAACAGAGGACCTCAGATTCAGTCCGGCTCCCGCAAACACAACTCCACACAGGACCTGAGAGAGAGCAGGGCGGCTCCAGACTGGGGATCTGAGATCCAGGAGGCTGTGGACGGCGTTTGCTACGTAGCTGATCACATGATGGGAAACGACGACGATCAAAGTGTGAGTGACTGCTTCCCAGACACACCTTTCAAAGTCTCTTCTGCTCACCGAGGCTGCATTTATTTGATCAAAAATACAGTCAAAACAGTAAAAGTTTGAAATATTATTATAATTTAAGCTAGCTGTTTTCTATGTGAATATATATTAAACTGTAATTTATTTCTGTGATGCGCAGCTGTATTTTCAGCATCATTACTCCAGTCTTCAGTGTCACATGATCTTCAGAAATCATTCTAATATGCTGATTTGCTGCTCAAGAAACATTTCTGATTATTATCAATGTTGAAAACAGTTGTGCTGCACAATATTTTTGTGGTTTTTTTTGTCATTTTATAGACTACTTTACTGTCACTTTTGATCAATTTAATGTCAGTACAAGTTTTAATTTGTTACTTACCCAAAGTTTTGAATGGTAGTGTGTTACGATTTCCACAAAAATATGAAACCGTTTTCAACATTGATAATAATCAGAAATGTTTCTTGAGCAGCAAATCAGCATATTAGTATGATTTCTGAAGATCATGTGACACTGAAGACTGGAGTAATGATGCTGAAAATTCAGCTGCACATCACAGAAATACATTACATTTAAAAAAATTTAAAAAAAAGTATTATTTAATGGCAAAGTATTTCTGACTCTAAACAGCTCATATTATCTGTAATGTCATATCATCCTAAGAACTCGTCAGTGAGCTTCAAGGCTTGTAGAGTTTTATGGTTTCACTTGTAAATCACAGGCCATAATTGCCCTTATCGATCTAAAACATTAAATATTTGCGAACGGTTCAATTTGTCAGACAGATTTAAACCAAGAAGTTGAGTTTGAGGAAACACCAGTCTAACATCTCACTCATCCTCACGTTTCTCTAAATATTTAGTCAGATATTACCTGCACATTATGGGTTTAAATCAGATTGAATTATACAGTATAAGCTGAAAGTCATTTAAATTGAACAAAGAACATTTATTCAGCAGACACACAAACAGAGGTGGGATACAGCAGAGGTTACGCTCAGTCAGAGCCCATTGTAAGAGCATCGATCGTGTGCTTAAATCACTCTGAAGGAGAGAGAGACTGACTAATAGTGAGCTTCAGAAAGTGCCGAGGACAGCAGTCTGAGAGATGGAGCGGCTGCGCTGCTCAAAAGCGGTGGCTCAGCACTGTGTTCCGACTCCATTTGTTTCCTCGTCCCTTATTAGTGCACTAATGCGTCGATAGGGTTATTAACGAGCCGGTCTCTGTGCCTCCGCAGGTCATCGAGGACTGGAAGTATGTGGCCATGGTGGTGGACCGCCTGTTTCTGTGGATCTTTGTGATCGTGTGTGTGGTGGGAACGCTGGGTCTGTTCCTCCAGCCGCTCTTCCAGAGCCAGACCGCCGGCATCCAGCAGCCCAGCGCAGAGCCATCCAGACGGGACGGGATGTGAGGCCCGACCGGGTCGCCTGGAGCCGGAGATCTGAATGAACTGCTGCTTTATATAATCTAACTCGAACACATGAAGCTCTGATTGATGATCTGAGCATGAAACACGAATAGTGTCACAGTCATTGTGCCATTATTGTATCATAATGTCACTGTAGAGCATTTTCCTCACATCAGCAATCATTTGACCCACAAAGTGCTTGAAGCTCAAGCGGAACCAAATGGAACTGCAGAGTGTATGATTGTTTTCAAACAGGATTCACTCCCCTTGTCTGCCATTGGTCTGAAACAACAGTTAACCCCACCCACCAACTCTTGTTATTGGTTGAGCCATTGTCAGTCTCTTTTTTTTCCACTTTTCAGGGAAATAAACCTATAAATGGCTTATTTAGTCTCTGCACATTAAAGGTGACATATCATGAAAATATGACTTTTCCAGGTTTTAAGTGCTATAATCAGGTCCCCGGTGCATCTACCAACCAAGGAAACGTGAAAAAGATGAACCCAGTAACTTTGTTTTGGGAAGCCTTTTTCTGCAAGCGTCTGAGAAAACGAGCGCGTCAGATTTCGCTCCCTTGGTGACGTGGCAAAGGGATCTCATTATAATATTACCGCCCTTTTAATCTGCATGTTTCCAGCCATGGCACCGTCATTTGATTTCGCAAGCGACAACGATGTAATGCCATGGTGAAAGTTTGAGCAAAACATGCTAACTGTTCTGTGTTTGGCTGCACAGACGAGCACTGAACACTGTTTAGAGTCCCAGCCTCAGAGCAGACAACAGAGCAGTGCATTTATTGATTTATTTACTGTATATTGCTGCTGCCACACAGATCTAAAAAAAACATGTGATTTATTTTCCAGCTGTTTACCTTCACAAGCATAACCGACTGTTTTTGTAACTCGTGTGTTTTTAACGTAAACTTGTGTGTGAATGAGAACTCACATGCTGTGTGGTGGCCGCTTTCTGTGAAAAACGGCGTGTTTCTGCTTCCACTCAAAATAGGCATTTTCAAAATGATATAATAAATGATCTGTGGAGTATTTTGAGCTGAAACTTCACAGACACATTCTGGGGACATCAGAGACTTATATTACATATTGTAAAAAAGGGGCATAATATGTCTCCTTTAAGCCCGGATAATGTATCTTTTTAAAATGTTCTTAAAAGGAAAAATAAAATGATGTAGGATTTACTTTTTAATGATTTTCAGTCAAACATTGCTATTAAATTACACATAAACAGCGAGTAACTCTGAATTAAACATGAAATCATGAAGTAGAAAGATTGAAATAGTATTTTCTTGTAAAATGTACTCCAGTTTTCAGTGGTCTTGATAGATACACAAGGTTTGATTCACTGTGTAATATTCAATCACATTTGCGATCAAATCTGCACAAATGTGTCTGGTCTCATTCTGGATTCTTCATTTCATCGGAGACAAGAAGAATCACCTGCTCGTCCTCGTTTCATTTCAAACTCTTCTCTTCAGCGCCGGTGTGTTCAGTACTCAAGCATTCATCAGCTGTTGTTTTATTTCTCATCTTCTGTGTTCCTCATGTGTTCACCTGAGAGCACATTCAGATGCTGGACTCGTGTGTAGAGCGCCACCTGCTGGATGCACTCTCATTCACACTGAGCAGAATCCTGCAGATTTCAGGCTGAATCAGCAGCTGTTTGAAACATGGCCTACCATTTCTTGGGAAGCAATTAACATTAGGGTCACACTGATATGGATATTATTCTCATATACTGATATTTCAGACTAATGTATTATTTGGATCTTTCTCTCAACCAGTATTAAATGCTGCACTCTCATTCACACTGAGCAGAATCCTGCAGATTTCAGTCTGAATCAGCAGCTGTTTGAAACATGGCCTACCATTTCTTGGGAAGCAATTAACATTAGGGTCACACTGATATAGATATTATTCTCATATACTGATATTGATACTGATATTTCAGACTAATGTATTATTTGGATCTTTCTCTCAACCAGTATTAAATGTGTTCTTCATGGTAAAACTATAAAATCCTCCTGTGCTTTATCATGTAACAAAGTCAGAATCACATCATATTCTGAAGCGTCTCGCATCATGCGCGTTGCGTTGTTATGATGGCATGTCAGGTTTAGAGGTAGGGGTGAATTCAGGTAAATTGGGATACTTTTTGCCATTGAAATGACTGGGGAAAATGCCCATATTAACTTGATTTCACCTTAGTTTCACAATTCAGTGGCCGAATTTTGAGTGCATTGCGCCTTGTATCCTCTTGTTAAGGAGAGATGCGCTCTCTCTCTCTCTCTCTCTCTCTCTCTCTCTCGTGTCTTACTCCGTCCGCGTTCGGACTCTGTTGGATTGATCTTCTATCAGTTCTCCGGACTGTACGATGAAAACCAGACCTCTCGTCATTTTGCACACCTGCTGCTTTCTGTTCTTTCTTCTGTCGGGTGAGTAAAGCGAGACTGAGCAATGACAGAAACACAGACCAAATGTGCGATTTAGCGCAGTGTTTCGTGTAGTTTGGGTTTTCAATCATTAAAAATGCAAGCCAGCCGCAGGAAAAAGTCAGTTTCTAAAACGCTGACCATCTGTGACAACATGCCCCAATAGCGGCGCACGCTGTCACGGAGTATGGGGTAAATTGTCACAATGTAAGCTGGCATTAAACAGCTCTTTTTAAAAACGTTTAACGTGTGTAACAAATCGTTTCAGCACATCTAAGATACTAAATTGTAAAATGTTTATGTGCATTTAGGTCTCATAACAAATCAGATCTGACGTTCTAACATGTTTTTTATTCTCTTGTAATCAGGATTATATTAGAGGTTAATTCAGGATAACTGGGGCATTTTTTCCCAGTCATCTCAATGGAAAAAGTGTCCCAATTGATCTGAATTAACCGCTATGTATATGTGGGATCTTGTCAAGAAAAGAGGTTTAAAATGTACAGGCTGGTGTTATTGCCTCCTTAAGATGAATCGCTTTGCTGTATTCTTCATTTGCTACGTTGCTAATGCATGTGTTCAGATCCTGTCGTGTACTAAATGCACTAGCTGGTTTTCTGGTGGTGCATGTGTTCTTCTGAAGCAGTCGAGCTGATGATGTGCTGTAATGAACGTCTCTGGTCCAGATTCAGGGGTTTGTGGCTCTGAAGCCGAGCACAGGCTCTTCTCAGTCATCTTCTCCAGATATAACCAGTACATCAGACCGGTGGAGAACGTGTCTGACCCCGTCATCGTCCAGTTTGAAGTGTCCATGTCACAGCTGGTCAAAGTGGTAAGTGCCTGTCCAGAAAAGAACAAATGCAGGCTCATTTCCATATTTTACCCCATGCAGTTTCAGATGATTTGAGTGTGTGGTGGGGCCAGACTCATCTGTTAGCCGCATGATGAGTCTGGCTCTCTTCAGAGATGCTTGAGTTTCATCGGCTGCAGCTTCAGAGTCTCTGCGCTTGATCTCTGACCTCAGACACGCACCGATCCATCTTCTCATCGTTCCTCTTCCTTCCCCACCCAAGAACATCTCACTTCTATTAAACACGGTGTCTGTCGAGCTTTATTTCCTTCCTTGTGTCATTCTTTCTCATTCAACCTGATAATGATAAGGTCTGTGTGATGCAAAAAAAAAGGCATTTCTGCAATTTCTGTGCATTCAGTCATATCCGTTTGTTATGCTTTAAAGTTTAGGGAGGTAATGTCATGCTTTTTTTGGGATGGGAGCGCAAACAACAACATTACAAAGAATGATTTCAGTATTATATTGCAGAGGAAATCTAAATATGAAGTTCTGAAATGTTCTCATTTCTCTGCCAGCACCTTTAGTGGACTGATTTAAAATTTTGACAGACTATTGGATTAAAATGGGCTCATATTGATATAGATGACATTCTAAAGGCATATAAGGAAATGTATTATGTATAAGTAACAATGAACCCATATGGCAAAACCTGTTTTTTCTTTTCTGGCCAAAATATATTTTAAATACATGTTAAATATATGTTGTAAACAGTGAAGCTCAATTAAATATATATATTTAAAATTGAATATAAATTTAGTTTCAACCTTCATATACCAAAATATATTTCAAAATGTATTTCAGTTGCAGGACAATACATTTCCAATCTTACAGTAGCATACATGTATGTGTTATATGTTCACATGTTTTGTAGACGACAAAGTTTTTCTTCAAATGTGACATATTCAATGTTATTTTAGTTTGATATATTATTATAGTTTTTGCTAATATTTTGAATGAGATTTTATTGTTATATCATCTGTTTTAATTTTTAAAGATTTAGTAATTATGTTGTGTTTTTGTCATTTTTATTAATTTCCGTTGTTTTTAAATTCATTTTTTATTTCAGTTTTAGTTTGAGTTATTTTAGTACATCAATTTAAACAATGAAAATGAGAAATGTCGCCTTAGAAACTAGCTGAAATAAAATAAGTTTAAGTTTTTTATGTTTTATTTTATTTCAGATGACATCTATTTTAATGTTTGTAATGGTTTAATGCTAGTTTTAGTTAACCCTGATGTAAATGTATTTTCTTGGATTGAAATATGTGGAGGACAAAATATTTTGAATATTTATTTTTATTTCTAAAATTTTGAAATATTAAAATATTTAGTATATTTCAAAAATATACTAAAAATGGTAAACAAATATATTGGTAGCAAATATTTTCTTTTTTTGTTGTTGTTTATTTTGAAATATGTTTCAAAGTAACACCTTTTATCCCGTATATGGGATTGTGAGAGTCCAACTTTTTTGAGCGTTCAAGAAAACCTCCACAAACGTGGCACTTGAAGCGTTGAGCTGTACACATGGAGCATGTTTGCCTGCAGCTGGAGGTCCTTCAGGCGACGGGACTCAGGTGTTCCTCGAGCACAGCCCATCTGCTCGGGTTCTGACGCCTGGAGGATGATTGCTTATGACAGCATGCTTCTTCTTCAACCTCTAAAATATTAATCCAGAGCTGTGTTTATTCCGCCGCAGGTGATTTGTCTGCGATTCTTAGAGTCTCTCTGTTCCTTTTTCCACAGGATGAGGTGAACCAGATCATGGAGACCAACCTTTGGCTGCGACATGTAAGCCCATGCATTATTCATGCACATCCAAAGGTCATTGATGCATTTAGACAATAGGTCACAATTGTATTCACTATCTTTGCGGTCACTGTTTACAATGATTAGTGCAGCAGGTGGATTTGATTCCCAGTGGAATACAGATCTGAGATTTTGAAAAGACATGTTAAGGAGAATCTGACAATCCAGATTCAGATTATTGATGATAGATTCCAGATCAGCAATGCAATATTCATTAGATTCACAGAACATGCATTAATGAATTAATTAATGCAAAAAGGTGCGGTGGTTCATTGAGGAAATGAGTGAGCAGGTGACATTAAACGGGTGAAAACTAAAACAATGATTTATCTAACATTCTTGCATACAATGTCATTTTGCATTACTGACACACTATTTTCATATTTAATACTGTACAGTTGCTTTGACACAATCTGTATTGTTAAAAGCACTGTATAAATAAAGGTGACTTGACTTGACAAGGTCCTGACACCAAGATTATTTAGTTTCTTGCTTTAGACCAGTGAAGATTATATATAATGATAGGGAGTCAAATACGGCATGCAGATGATGCAGAATTTGATGAAGTGTTGAACCTGGAGGATTTTAATCAAATACTGGATTTTTCTCAATTATTGGTCCGAGCTGATGAACGGTAAGGGGTCCCTGGCTCCAAAAAGTTTGAAAACCCCATGATGTAGATGCTATTATTATATTCATATTTGGTGAAAAATAAATTGGAATGTGATCATATCGGTTTGCAGATGTCTAATTGTCTGATATGTTTTATTACCCTGAAGATTGGAAATGGTCTACTTAAGCAAGACAGCGTTAGATCTCATAAGTTGTTAAGAGAGTGATCATGTGAAGAGGAATAATTAAAAACTCATACAGCAAAGAGCATTGTGACCTCCTCCTGTTCATTAACCCTTAAACAGCAATCATTCCCTGTCTGCTCATCTCCTTCCTCACCGTTCTGGTGTTTTATCTCCCGTCCGACTGCGGTGAGAAGGTGACCTTGTGCATTTCCGTTCTCCTCTCCCTCACTGTTTTCCTCTTGGTCATCACCGAAACCATCCCGTCCACATCTCTCGTCATCCCTCTGATCGGAGAGTACCTGCTCTTCACCATGATATTTGTGACTCTGTCCATCGTGATCACTGTGTTTGTGCTCAATGTGCATTACCGCACGCCTAAGACGCACACCATGCCCGGCTGGGTTCGGAAAGTGTTCCTCGGTCTGCTCCCTCGGGTCATGTTCATGACTCGGCCTGAGAAAGAGCCGGAGAGGAAGACCAGATCCTGCGCTCTTCACGCTCCAGGTCTGGTTTCCAGCAAACAGACGAATGTTTCGCGCCGGGCTCCTCTGCTGCTGTGCTCCTCTGAGCTCACCAACCTGAGCGAGGCCTCGTCTAAGACGGCGCCTGGCTTTCTGTGTCGAGACGGACGATGCCTGGGGAAGCAACAAGGCACTAACGTCTCCAGCGCAGGAGCAGAAGACGGAGGGAGTCCGTGCTCCAGCTCTGAGTCTCTGGACGCTGGGTTTCTGTGCATGTCTCCACAGGTCAGAGACGCCATAGAGAGCGTCAAGTACATCGCCCAAAACATGAGGCTACAGAACGAGGCCAAGGAGGTGAGAGAACTGACTTCAAATCAATCCATAATTCATTGTTATTGTTGACTCGTTTTATTCCTAGGTCTTCAGTATTTAGTGTTAAACAAGCAGGGGATCCTGCAAGGAGAAAAATAAAGCACGTTTCTGCTTGTGGAGTGCTGAACTCTATCAGCTGCATACTTAGTCTGTATGAGTCGTCTGTGTGTTCACTTTAGCTCTGTAAAGCCTGACTTAGGAAATAATAGTCAGAAAATGTATTAAATGGAACAGTTTATGTGACCTTTAGACAGTTTGCGTATGTGCTTTTCGTTGAGTATCATATTTGCTCCATCAGGCTTTTATGGCTCATATACAGTGAGAATATGGAGGAAAAAACAGCTCAGTTTTAATCAGAGACTTAAACTGAGCAAAAATATGCAGTTTGGTGCAGATGCTGATATTTATATGATGAAATTCTGATGCTTGTAATATAAATCAGTGAGATCTTTATAACAGGTACAGTTACACTGAAAGAGATTTGACTGGATACAAAACTCAGGAAATTGTGTGTGAAACAGCAGAGAAATCTGCATATCAAATATGATCCAGAGTTCATGTCTTGCTCTTCCAACCCTTGTGTTTAAAGGTCCAGGACGACTGGAAGTATGTGGCGATGGTGATTGTCAGGATCTTTCTCTGGGTGTTTGTCCTCGTGTGTGTTCTGGGTACGGCTGGACTCTTCCTGCAGCCGCTGCTGATGGGCGAAGACATGTGACGACTTCACATCCCAACATTTTCATAGCCAGAACTTAATTTCCAGCAACCTTAACTCAGCATTTTTATATCATGTTTCGGTTAGAGTTGAATTAAAAGGCATTGGTTTACCGGTTGGTTGACTCTGGGACTTTTAAGAGCTCAAACGGAGCAGCTAAAATGAGGATCATCGTCGACTTTCAAGAAGCTTTCTAAGTACCCACCCGACGGCTTACTGTCCTCCTTTGTCAATTCCTATTTCCATCAAAGTCATGCAAACCGGCTGCATTATATAAGGCTAAAACACATTTGGCCGATGACTGGACCGAATATTTGGCATGTAGATGGAGTATCAGAGAAGAGTATTCAAGTGTTGTCTTAAAGGAGTAGTTCACCAAAAATTGACATTTATTCACCCTTGAGTTGTTTCTTTTCTTTTTTTTTTTTCAATTTAAAGAATGATCACACAGGTCTTTTCTGTGTTTCGCAGTTCACAGTAAGCTCCAAAATGACAAAAAAGCACCATAAAAGTAGTATGTACAAACTGCTTTTTTCCCCTCGATGATAAACAGGCTATAATTACAGTCGTTCGCTGATAATCTTCCCCTCTAGTCAGCTGTGTAACTCATGAATGAAAGAATTGTACGGTCCATTCAATTCCTTGTAATGAAAAGAGCTGCGTGAAGATTCTTCAGAAGTTCTGCTTTTGTGTTCCTTCAAATCTGTCTGTCTGTAAACTCACACATTCCTTCGTGAGATATGGCTGCTGTTTATTGTCACGTATGATCATTTTTTTACATTCAAAATTATTTTAATCTATCTAAAAACACTTGTCAGGCATGTTCTTGGGCAAAGACACAATCTCCTTGTGTGAGCGTTGTATACTTTCAGGTAAAAACCACCACCTAGTGGATACTTTGAGCAAGTCCCTGGTGAAAAGACTAGACGATTCTGTGTAATTCAGTAATGGGTCTCTAAAACAGTCAAAATACTTTTTTCAAACATGTAATGGGTGTCCGCTCTCTGTACATGTTCACATGTTCTCAGTGTATGATGTAAAACCTTGATGCACACTTTCAGCTTTCTGAGGAATCCTGCAAATAAAGAAAGACTGAGGACTATGAAGGTCTTCTGTTCTACTGTCACCAATGTTGGCTGGCTGAAAATCATTTATCTTCAGTTTTGTGAGAATTTCAGTGTCTCATTTCAGAATGTCAGTATCTTTCATAGGCAGTAACGTTTTTATAACACACTGTAAATTACTGTCATGCACCTGAATCTCCGTTACTGTGAAGTTAACATAGCTTGCATAAAGCAATAAACCAAATCATTTGTTCCTGTCAGTGGCATTTAGACTTGATATGAAGCAAGCTTAGAGCCAAAAATGAATGATCATATTGACAACTTATTAGCAACCTATTAATAATAGCAACACTGTGTTGTATTCAATTGCATCTTCATTTGTACTGCACATCCACACCAAGCAGAAAGCTCTTAATCCAAGGCTTTCAAATGTTAGGATCTTTCTTAAGGCTCTTTCACACTAAACGAAAATTTTCAGTGCAATTAAGATTTAAATAGAAACAACCGATGAACCTCCACCACACCATCAGATTTCTCATTTTATTACTTATCTAATTATGCTTGAACTGGCATGTTGACAGCATGTTAAGCAAAGAAATAACCAACATTTTAGTTTATGAAGAGCACTACGGGGAAGACCATCTAAGTCACATCAAATATACTTAAGCACTGAAGTATAAAACCTTATGCTGTTATGCAAATGTTTTCCAAATCTGTGCACATGCACAAGCATACCAAAAAGCATAACATGGTGTTACACAAACTGCAAATATATGCAAACGTATAATTTAAGTGGTCATATGCTTTGCAACAAATTAATGTAACCTTTCTGGATAAGCAAGTCTCAAATGTAATTCAGTTAACAGAAAAAAAAGTCTTAAATAATGATCAACTGTTTGTGACATGGACAAGTTTTACTGGACTGTTTATCTGTGTAAAAAGTCTTTTATTATTATTTTTTCTACAACCTTATATTTAGCCAAATTTATTTAGACGGACACACTGAACTGTCAGTGCCCGAAACCACACACAATAGTTGACAGTGATTTTTATAGTCGATAATCATTAGTGTTGGAAGTTGTAAAGCATGAGCAAAAGTTACAGTCGGCTGCCACTCAGAGACAGTGTTCAAGTGGCATTTATTGGCAATCCGTCCATTCAGTGATGATCTGATGAAGTGTATGTGCATAAAGAGTCCTAAAAACAGTGTTATGTTCTGATCCTGCATGTTGCCTTTCGTGCTTTTCACTTTATGACCTTGTGAGAATTCTGCTAACTGAGCAAAGCATTTGATAATCAAAGTCGGAGGTCTGCCCTCTGGCTGGAACAGTACCATTGTTTCTGCCAAATGTAGAAAAAAAAGGAAATGCATGATGGATATTCTATTATTTTGAAACATCGGATAGCTGATGCATAATACTAGGTTGATGTGGATTACTGTGAAGGCCGAGATGAAGGAACATGCATGCATCATGATTGTTTTTATATTTTTACAGTTGTTATATAAATAGCTATTTTACAACTTTACAAAAAAGTTACACAAAAAGAAATAATAATAATAATAAAGAAACTACAGCTCATTGTAATTATAGGCAAAACTCGGACAACAGGTGACTATGAGGTTAATTGTTATGAACTCCAATAAACATGCAGAAAAGACATGGAAATGCCAGCTCAGATTAACTGTAAAATGCCTCTAAGCTTTGAGCACTGATGCACAATGTGGCTTTGGGCAAAACTGTTGTGAGAAAGCCAAAATGAACTCTTTGCATTATTTTGAAATGCCTTGTGGCTAAAAAATCCCTGAAGGCTAGACCACTCCTTCCTACTGAAAGTATAAAACCAAGACCACCACCTGCAAGGCTCATCCTGAATCTATAATCCACCTGTGCATCAGCCCGTCAGACCGACAACATGAGCTTTACATTCAAGTCAGCGTTCCAGTCGAGCTTCCAGACCATCTCCAGCTTCGTGAGTGATCTCTCGGTCTTACTTACACTCCTGACATGTAGTATAGCTTTCTAAATTAACTTGTGCATTTTCAGAGATTGGGGAAGTTGTATTTAAGTCAGCTGTAACACTTATCATAACATGCAGAATACTATATTTACTATGCAGAGCGTCCCTTATGTGAGTCGTATCTCTGGAGGACTAAAAGCTGGGAAAGCCATCGTCATTCAGGGATCTGTTCCCTCTGGATGTGAGAGGTGAATCTTTCTGTTCATGACTAGACACTTGTAGCTAGAAATGCAAGTGTGTTTGAGTAACTAGTTCACTCCTTCACGTTGTCTTTGATCATTGCAGCTTTGTGGTGAATCTGAAGGAGACGACATCGCCTTTCAAATCAGGCCCCAGTTCAGCAGCGACTGCATGGTCCTGAACAGCCACCAACATGGGTGCGAACGCAAGCGGTCGACACATGCGCTCTAGAAAGATTCATCTTTGTCCAGCATCTGCTGTATTTTTCTCCAGAAGTTATGAACCATAAAAATGTCTTTGTATTCTTTTAAACTAAAGTTGCGGCTCTCTCATAACCCTCTCAGACAAGCGCTTCAATGCAGGCATGTGTTGTTGTTGCAGTCTCCGCTATTTTGTTGTGGCTCCGTCTCTTTAGCATTGTACTGTGAAACAATGGCCAGTGTTGCTACCTTGATTAGTGCAAAACCAAGTCAATGTGCATGTGCACGGTTACAGAAATCGGATGGTGCACGTACAGTACACGCATACTACTCTGGTGACGAAATTTGCGCACTGTACGCGGACCTTCGTGTACGCATAAAAAACAAAGTATACTTTGGCCTTTACAGTGACTTCTTCCTGCACAATAAAATAAAACACTTAACGAGATGGTCCACTTAAAAAAATCTGTCATTTACTCTTCTCCACGTCATTCCAAAGCCATGTGAATCTCATTTTCTACTTCCTTTCATTGTATGGGGGAAAACAGTTCTTTAGTATATCTTCTGTTGTTGTTTTTTCAAAAGATTTGGAATGACATGAAGATGAGCAAATGATGACAGAACTGTCATTCTTGGGTGAACTATTCCTTTAATGAAACAGTGGCGCATGAAAACTCTCTGATGAGCACTTTAAACATCACTGTATTTCAAATTTCCATTTTAAGGAATCCAAACCCTGCCTCAAGATTAGGACTGATGCTTATTTTCTTGTGCTTTTACAGACTCTTCCTTATGTGACCCCAATTCCAGGAGGACTGAGAGAAGGCATGGCTTTGTATGTGCAGGGAATCATTCCTACTAATGCTGACCGGTAAGTTACAATTCCGTTTAGGGGTGGGCGATATACCGGTAGACACGATTAACCGGTAGAGATTTTCGACTATTGTCTCTATCGCTGTTACACGCTCATGTGACATTGCTGTGCTACATTTGCACACTTTTTAAATCACTTGTTTCACATCGCGTTGAAACGCAATCAGCAGCGAAAGAGAACTCATTTGGCTATATGCGCGCACATGTGCAGACGGTGCTCAGAGCGTGGGAGTATTTTTTCCGCTTTATAGGCCTTGAACGCTTTAATACACACACTTGTATGTGTCAAAATGCCCGTCTTTGCAAGTATCTTCATAAACAGTCATTTCGGTCTTAAGTGAATGCAAACAGATGAAAAAGAAAACACGTGTGTAACAGTATATCGGATACGGGCAGCTCTTAAAGTGACAGCAGTCTAATATTCCTGCTGTCTGTCATTCATGTTAATCAAACAACACAAACAAGAATAAATCTCTCACTGCTCTTGACTAAATCACATTTGTAACTTGAATAAGCAACATTTGATTACTTTATACAATGCATGTGACATTTCTTATTTATTTGTTCTACTGTAGTTTTTGGTCACATTACTTGTAATTAGTTTCTTCTTATTTAATCGCTAACTTTTTTATTTTATTTTTTTGTGATATTGACACTTGAGACAAGAATTATGACATTTCTATGGTATCAAAAATAACTATATTGTGATGTATATCGTTAAAATGAAAATTACTCGTATTGTGATATAATATTTTGGTCATATCACCCCTAATTCCGTTGATCTTGTGTAAGAAACCAATCCTCCGATATGCACTGAATTAGGCTTAGGTAACGGCCACACGATACGATACATATTGCAGTAAACAGTACAATATATCTTAATGCATCACAATATTATTATTATACTAATACTGGACCAAAACATGCAAGAGAGACCCAGCCTTGCATTAAATATTAAATAATACATGATCTGTTGTAGTTCTTTTATTTCACCTCTCAATTCTTCATGAGGTTGGTGAGATGAGCAATTATTGTGATTCTGATCATTTAACATAATGCCTCTACTTCCATGCAGATTTTACATACATTTCAAGACTGGGCCAACTGACAAGAATGACATTGCTTTCCACTTCAATGCCTCCATCAGCTTCCTTGGTTTTGTCACGGTGAGTGAAATCAGCCCGCTTGTTCTTTATATGCCTGCAATATACTGAAAATACACAAGTTTATAACGTTCCTTTGTTTTCACAGGGAATGTGAATAGGAGCATTATTGTAGTACTCCCACAATATTAAAGCACTCTCAGAGAACAATGTGAAAATCATGCAAGTCCTCATCCTGATATTCACACATTTACATTTATTCCTTTAGCAGATGCTTTTATCCAAAGCGACTTACAACTGAATCACCGAGTATATCACTGATTTCAATCTAATCCATTACCACAAATCAAGGTTACTGCTTTTATGGCAACTAAACAAAACAGCAAATAAATTAATAAAACCAGCCTTTGTAAACCACACTGCTCTACGTTTTGGGTCACAATGCAAACACAAGCACAAAGGCTCTGTCTCCATACGGATATATAGACATCTGTAATGCATTTTATATTTATAACACGGCTTTATTTTGAAATATAAGCAAACTGAAGTCTAATAGCAATGTGAGGTGATTTAATGATTGCGTGACTCTTTTTGGCAAACCACTAAAAGTAAACCTTGAGATTTACAACAATAAAACTGAAGCTTTTCAGCTCATTTTTTAACATTACATTTTTTTAACCCAAAAGGCAAAGATGACTGAGTTGGTTTAAACAGTTGAGTTAGTAGAAACAGATTTCACAATCAATCTAGCTAAAGAAAATGTATTCAACATGTGTCTGGGTTTTTTCATAAATGGCCACAAGGTGGCGCTATTTCTACAGCATTACAGCCAGTGTACACACTTGTCATCAGTAGGCCTTTGTCTGAAAGCAATAATGAGCTGAATACAATGTGCTTATTGTTATTATTACCCCCTTTAACTATCACTACCAAAATACAAAGAACAAATGATTCATGGTTCTTCTAGGAATGTGTCACTATATCAGTGTAGAATTGTGTGTTGACTGGTGTTTAAGTGTTTGTTCTCATTTCTCTCTCTGCACTATTAGTTATTGCACAGTGAGTTAATTATCTCACAGCATTTGGTGTATGGTTTGGCAGCAGCACATTGTAGATTCATCTGAGGTCGATGAACTCACTACACTGTCAGAGTGAATGAGACAAGTATGACTGAAAATACAAATACAACGTAAAGGTAATTTGGCTCATTAAGGCTACATTTAATCAATGCAATCTTCATGAAGAAATATATGTGAGAGGTAGAGAAACCCCATCATGTTTCCTCTCACTAAGCAGCACTCTCTCTTGGGCTTTCTCTAATGTGATAGCACCTATGCACTGCGAGAACTATTATATCAGTGTTGCACAGCTAGGAGAGTGGATCATTAGTTATCAGTTTCTTCAAGTAGAGAGAGCTCTGCTGTGATAACGAGACAGATAAAGGGTAAAGGGGGAGTACACTGATTGGAGAAAGTGGACAAACCCTCTGCTGTCATAGCGTAGGGTTGCTCAGGCAGCACAGCAGCAGCGACCGTGTGAAGATGATGTAACGAGTCTGCAGTAAATCCCAGAGCCGGGGCAAGTCCTATTATAAATCTGATGTGGCCTGAGTCCCTGCAACCTTTTCACCTCATAAATTAGACTTAAGTTAAGTGGTTCGATATCTGCCCTCTGCTTGCAGACTGTAAAATTGTGTTTAGCAGCTGCAGGATTTTTATTTCATACTGCCCTGAAGAAGCTCATATTGACATTTGCATCAAAAACAAATGATCTTTTACAGCGTTTACATTAGGTATGGTTAACCTGACTTAAGTGATCGCAAATAATAAACAAGTAATAATTGAAACAACAAGCTTACATTATTTATTATTCTAGGTTAATATTCATTTCTACATGCATTTGTGTCTTTTGCATTGCATACATTAACATTGCATAATTAATTATGAACAAGCATCATGTTTATATAACAGTGTATATGGTTATGTAATAACACAATAGTAAATGTATGAATTACCATTAATGCTTTACAGTAAGGTTTCATTTTTAACATTAGTTATTAGTTAACGTGAACTAACGTTGAAAAGTACTTCAAAGCATTGATTAATCTTAGTTGATGTCCATTGCAACATTTACTAATACATTATTAAAATCAGTAGTTGTAGCTAACTAACAGTGAACAGCTGTATTAATAAAAATACTGTAATACATGTATTGCTCATTGTTAGTTAATGCATTAACAAATGGACCCTTATCGTAAGGTGTTACCAAAAATGCTGTAAAAAATTGCTGTTCATTGTTAGTTTATGAAATCTAATCCGTTAACTACCCTGCAAAAAGTGGTAACCTGCAATTGTTATCTTAAAGAGCTATTTCTATCTGATTTTACTCATAAAAATGTTGCTGATATAAATGAATGTATATAGATTGGTTGAGTGATGTTAAATAATATATTTGACCAGTTAATTTAGATATTAGCCTACTGTTTTTTTAAGGAGAGTACTAAAGCAAAACTCAAGTTTATGATCTGTACTATTTAATCTTAGAGCTTCAGCCAGGTGTATATAAACTATGAGGATATGCGTGTAAAGTAATGTCACGCTACTGTCTGCTCTCAGTCTGTCATCAGTCTGCCGTATAAAACAGTATCTAAAAGCAAACACTGTTGGGCCAGAGTTCAAGGTTCGAGCCTCGCATACTGTCAGAAGTCTTTATTATCCTGGAGTTAAAGTGTGATTGAACTGACTGTCTCTCTGCAGCTGTGTGTGTGTTTGGGTCGCTCTCCACAGACCGGTCAATTTCAGTGCTATTTCCTGTCCTCCGGCCCCTGACCCAAACACATGCACTACTGTGTATGTTACGCAGCAGCTTAAAAATGTTCCCACAAGCAAACGTTCTCTTTCTTGAAGACGTCTTCTCACAAACACTAGTGTAAGGATTAATGATTTGAAGCTTTAGTCTAAAATTTATGCTGCTGCATGCTTAGTGTACTTTGTATCATTTGATATCATTGTCATATTAAGTGTCTCAGATCGGAAAGGATGTGTGTGTGTGTGTGTGTGTGTGTGTGTGTGTGTGTGTGTGTGTGTGTGT